ACTGTACATCAGGATGTGTTTATCAAGGGAAAAGCCTGTTGATTTGCCACACTTGTCGGAGAAAACTTTTAAATGGTGACATGCCGGGAGATTCCTTTTCAAATAATCGTGAGTTAGAAGAAGTTCCAAAAGAGTTTGATTATCTGAATACATTAGAACAAAAATTGATAGGATTGAATATTTCTTTCACGAAAATACTTGGTTTGCCAAAAGGAGGTCAAAAGGGCGTACACGGTCCTGTTGTTTGTGTGCCATCTGATATACGAAAAGTAACATCAACTTTGCCGAGATCAGAAGATGAAAATCTCTTACTCAAAGTGAAATTAAAGAGAAAATTGAATTACAAAGGATACGAATAGTATCAATTTGTGAATACTAAATATTTGGAAGCATTGCAGTTTTTAAAGAGGAACAATGCGTGGTATTCTGAAATTACAGTAAATGAAAAATGGCTCAATCCTATTCCAGAGGAATATGAATCAGATGAATGCATGGATTCTGATATTAGATCTGAAACTGACGAAAGGACTACACACTTTAAAGCAGATAATTTAGACAACGGAGAATGTAGAACTGCGAGCATGGAAACTGAGTCTGATTCATTTCTTGATGAGAGACGAAAAGGTGTTCAGTTAGATACTTGTTTACAGCCTGCAAACATTGGACAAAATGTGTTAGATTTATGCTTTGACAACGTCTTTGAAATTTCACCAGCAGAAGGAAACAATCCAGTTTCAGTTCTTCAAGAGGATGGTATTGAAGCTAAAACATTTCCTGTTCATTTTCCCACTGGAAAAAAGCACGTACTCAGAAGACAGATCTGAAAAACTAACTCTTGCAAGGTACTTTAATCTTCTGTTGACAAGTGTTGAAGATAGATTCGCGAGAGACTCATCCTACATTTTCTTCAGTCAGTACCTATCTTAATTGAACAGAGTTATTTCAAATGTCCAGATTTCGCTAAGGAAAGAATCTGCATATTTTGACGATGGCAAAAAAAAATAAGTGGTGAAATGCTATGTGACAAGAAAACTTTGAAAGAACTCTTTAAAAAGACGAGGCAGTAAAATTTCTAAAACCTGTAAGAGGAACTCCGCCATACTGGCAAGCTGCACAAAAATATATATTTGCTATGATACGACAGTTGGGAATACCTCAATTCTTTTGCTCCTTTTCATCAGCAGATTTCAGATGGCCAGAAAATATTGAAACGATACTGAAACAGCAGGGTGATTTAAGAAAGCTGGAAGAACTTTCATGGAACGATAAGTGTAAAATTCTCCGCAGTAACCCAGTAACTGCTGCACGAATGTTTGATCAGAGATTTCACACTTTTTGAAAGATGTTATCATGTCAGATGCTGAACCAATAGGAAAAGTAGTTGACTATTTCTACAGAGTTGAATTTCAGCAAAGGGGTTCTTCGCATACACATTGCTTATTTTGGATTGAAGGTGCTCCAAAATTTGATGAAGACTCTGTCACCGACGTTGTTAAATATATTGATCGATATGTTACATGTCAAATACCAGATGAAGATCAAGAAATGCACGACATTGTTATGGCGGTGCAACAGCATAGTAAAAATCACTCAAAGTCCTGCCAAAAAAAAGGAACAGTTTGTAGATTCAACTTCCCTAGACCATCATCTGAAAGAACATTTATTTCAAAACCACAAGAAAAGATGGAGGAAAATGACAAAAAGCTAGCGAAAGAAAGATTGTCACTTCTTTGGGATGCAGTAAAATCAAACAAAGATGAGAGCGCTTCAAGTTCAGATTTATTACAAAGGGCAGGAATGACTCAAAAGGAGTTTGAGAAATGTTTCAGTTTCATAACAAAAAGAAACACAACCAAATGAGCTGTTCACAAACCAGTACAAAATGCATCTTCTAAGAGCTTGGAATGCTAATATGGATATTCAATATGTTTTCGATGCATATTCATAAGCCATATTAGCAAAGCTGAACGTGAACTTGGACTTCTGCTGCAACAAACAAAAAATGAGGCTGTTGAGGGAAATCTGAATGCCCAAGATGCTATGAAAAAAGTTGGTACGGCTTATCTACACCACAGGGAAATTAGTGCATAAGAAGCTGTTTACAGGGTGATAGGATTGAGGTTGAAAGAATGCTCAAGAAAGGTTGAATTTGTTCATGTTGGTTAAAACCCATGTAGAATGAGTATCCCTTTGAAAGAGGTAAAAAGAAAGCAAAACATATCAAAGATTAAAGATCAAATTTAGTCTTCTGAAGAACAACACAAGCAAGAAAGTGATGATATATGGCTAACAAATGCTATAGACATGTATGAAGGAAGACCTGAAAAGGATGTTTTTCAGAAAATGTGTCTCGCAATGTTCCGTTCAGAATTCTCTGTTGTTTATGAATCAAGATTACCAAAGAAGATCAATGACGAAACAAAATTTAAGCCGAACAACAACCTAGGGTACATTAGAAGAAAAAATAAAAAAGGTAATTTGATTCAAAGAAATTTAAAATAAAAAGCAGAATTTGTATCATCCATTATGTTTTCTAGTCAGCCGTGGCTATAATCATGATTGTCACATTAGAGTAAAATTAGAGTAAAATGATCTTACTGCAGATCACTTAATTTTCACGACTTAGTATTTTCACGAGATAGTCATTGACTCTTCATTAGAAAGACAAAATGTTCACGGTTTGTGGTCACTGCTCTATATATAATCTTACAAAATTCTATTAAACGCCAGAGTGAAATTTTCACGATCATCATATAAATAAAGTTCTTGCGAATGAAAAGAGATTTTCAGTGTATTAAAGCCCTTTTAGTTAAAAGCTATTAACTTTCAATTCCTAAGGATTTAAAAAAATATATATATGACACAATTCTTTATTCAAGAAACGCAGAATGAGTCCTACAGAGGAGGCAGCAGGGCTGGAGAGGGATTGTTTGGAAAATAGAGGTACATGTACATGTACTATGAGCGCTAAGTTCACTGAAAGATAACCACCCCACCCCCTAACACACACACCTCTTATGATCTTAATTAAATGTCCCAACACAACATATAGCTACTCACTAAAAGAGCATGAGCCATCTTATGCATAAAATGGTCCTGTACTTATATCAATAAATTTACTATCACCCTCTTTCCCATTTCATATATAAAAAATAAATAGACACTTGGTGCTCTCATTTCCTATAAAAATTCCTTTTTGAGGATCCAATTATTGGATAACAGATTTGAAAAATTGCACTGTTCTTGAAATTTGCAGAAAACATGTGTATTTGACCTCCTTTACCAAAGAATTAAAATATGCGCACAGCTTACGATCCAAAAAATAAAACATGTTTTTGGATCTTCAGAAACAGAGCTTTCATTATGTATTGGCATATATTTTGGATCAGAGGTTCTGCTCTATATGAAATATTGAAAAAAGCTTCAACTTTAGGTCATTTTCAAAGGAATTTACAGGTCATTTTCAAAGGAATTTACAGGGAAATAGGAAAATGACGCATTTCATGGCGTCATAATGCATTGACTAGATGGAAAATTACGTCACAATTAATAGATACGTGGTCACCAACATTTAAGGTTGTATGAGTGTGAGCATTTTACATAACACAAATTGGAATGAAAGTCGCGTTCAAAGTAATGTCAGTAAAAGTTTATATTAACTTTACATAATTAAATAATTCATTATATTGTAAAATCAACTTTATTACGTATTTTTTTCTGATTGAAAATGTGTATTAAAATATCTGCATTGTCGTCGAATGCGTCTCGTATTTTTACGACAACAGACCCGTTTCCGATCTCCATAGTAACGACAGCGCTGGATTTCCCGAAATGAGGAACAACGAAAAATGGAACGTGCAAAGGGCAGCTTTGCCGCCCGCAAACAGATTTTTAAGATATAGAAACCAAACAGATTTTTAAGATACAGAAACCAATCAGAAGAAGAAGTCAAAGTAGTTTCTATTCAAAAATCGGTAAGGAAAAAAGTATCGAATATATGTAACACGCCAAACACGGTTACGGGGGCTCAAATTTTCTCCTACTGTGTGCCCATATTTCGACAGTCTAATCAAAAAGTGCCAGTTTTATAATATATCCTAAAGGCTAGACAATGTTTTAAATAAACGTAATTGGAATTAGGCTGCACATAATTTAGGTCTAATATCAACGAGAAATCAAATGTATTATGAACGATTCAGTGATTCAAGTTGCTTTGTTGATAACATTTTTTCTTCGAGATTATCTTAGAGTTATTCCCCGTTGTGAAATAGAAAGTACATAACCCGGCATTTTACATGTAAACAAAGTGCTCGAAGATTGCAAGGAAACTAATTTGTAATGTAAGTTGAAGAAAATGTTTGAAGAAGTTCAGATTCATGTATGAATAGGAGAGATTTTCTGTTGGAAAATATGTCTGAAATTGAATGAAAATGATTCATAAAACGAACTCAAATTGTGTTGAAATCTTCAAGCAAAAATGTTTTAATGCAGCATCCATTTTACACATTGTGATAATTCAGATTCATTATGCCATAAGAGATACAAATCTGCATATAAAAAATAATGCTGGGGTTGTTGTGAAGAACAATATGTTGGTCTGCATAAATGTAACACATACTTTTATGTTATGTGGTTTTATTTCAAGATCATTTAACACATTGCACAATTTCTTATCATTTATTTACATTTATGTATAAGTAATCTGGAAAGTCAAGAAAATTCAAAGTCAATTCTTATTGAGTAGTGAGTGTCAAGATCACATTCGAGGTCATATCCATGGGTGTAGGAAGCAAATTGAAACCAGCTAAACCAACAAAAAAAGGTGTAAAACCCTGCAATTTTCAATGCATAGAAATTATCTATATTCACAAAGAAAGTGGGGAGGGGGGCAAAGCCCAACCTATGATATCATTAATATTGGATCAAATTTCTAGAAACCTATAGTCACTGTGTTAAAATTTGATATACTTTATTCATTTGTTCACATGATTTTTTTTCCAGTTACGGGTATGATATCAGATACACGCCACGGGAGTTCATACAGCTTTGCAGCTGTCTGTTAGTCAGTCGGTAAGTCTGCATGTTGGTTCACCACCAGTTTTTGTTTATTTTCTTTGCAGAGGTTGCACATATTGAAATGAAATTTGGTATACAGATTTATCATAAAACTATATAAGTCAAGCTTTGTTTTGTAAGATCAGGGCATTGTTTTCATATTTATATCCCCTCAACTTAGAAAAATTCCAATTACCAGTTTCTTGGAGAATGGGGAGGAAGCAATAAGTGTTTTACAAACATATCTTGTTCTAGGACTTGTTAATCTTAAAATATCCTTGTCATTTCACAGGCAGCAGAATACGTCTACAAATGAAGTCAATAGGGAAGGACCTTTGCAGGCTTCTGGATGTGCTGCAGAGAAGTTCTCATGATAACCATAAGATACCAGCAACGATAGGTTTTTATGGGTAATTTTGTTACCTTTATCATGGAATTTGACTAACTTTTGAAAAACTTTTGAACTGGGTGTGAAATTTTATTTACTTTTGAAAAAGTCAAGTCTAGTGGATAATTTTTAAATGGTAATGATACATCACTTATATGTATTCTTTTGTATTGTGTTGTATTTGGTAGGGGAGTATCACATTTATAATACCATATCTTTTCTAGTTAAGTTTACCCTAATAAATGAATATGTAATCATTTATTTTATTGTATTTTAGTTAGAGCGTATGCTACACATATACCGTACTACAAATTTCCGCCATCAATGGAGAAAACCACTTCAACCAATACATATTTACATGTACTACCAAAGACTCCAATTTGTCCAAAAGTAAGAGAAATAACTGTTACTAGGACTGAGAGGAAGGAAATGTACCACAATGACAGAGGTGAAAGCAGTAAACATAAGGACAGCTCCTACAAGCTTTTTGGATTCTTTGTCTACCAATGACAATGTGATGGTACTTGCATGGTCATAATATAAGAAATTAATATGTTTCTGTTCTTTTTCAAGCATTATACTGTCTTGTGAAATTATGGAAAAAATTGTCACAAAGGTTCATGGTTTTCTAGACACTCTTTCATTATTTAAACTTATCAAGTCATGCCTGAACTCATAATCTTCTTCTGGTATAGTGCAGGGCCTTTTAGGCATCATCGCACTTTGTTTAAAACAGGACACAGGCGCAGTGGAGAGTCCTCTATTTACAATTAAAAACTGGTACATGATATTATTGTTTTATATACTTGAAATGAAATCAGATATAATATTATTTCATAAAATTTGTACAATATTCATTTTAATACATATTGTATAATTTGGAAATGTTATTGGAAAAATGTTGTCATAAACATGAAAATTTGCAGAGAAAAGATGTTCAGAGGAAATTCGGGCTGAATATTTTCAAAATGGCTTCACTCTTTTTTCTGAAACTTGGACACAATAATTGATTGTTGTTTTAGTTCATGTAAAACCTATGCATTTTTTATATCCATTACTCTGCATATTGTAAAATTTGTGATAAAAATTCGTATTGCTCATATTTCATTGACAGTGTCGAATCATTGGACAATATAGATGGCTATGGAGGACATTTAATGAAACATTGACTTTTTATATTTAACAAATGAATATTGTTCAGGTAATATATAGTTTATAGAATATTGTACCATGTTCATTTTCCATATAAGTTGTTTTTTTATTGTATCATAAATGAAGACAAATTTAGAGCAGTTGTATTTATGAGAATTTTGCAGAGAAATGCTGATCAGAGGAAATTCGGGTTGAATATTTTCAAAATGACTCCACTCTTTTTTCTGAAATTTGGACAAATAGATTGATTGTTATTATATTTTTAGAAAATAAATTGTTTTTTATGATTCCATTACTCTGTCTATGTTTTATAATTTGATTAAGATCCACAACTTTAGTATTTTGGTGAAAGAAATTAGGTGGCGCCGCAAGCACAGTTTATAATTTGTTAATTTTTTTTTAAATTGTTTTAAGTTTTAGAACAGATGTTCCATGTTTAATAAAAATTAGCATTTCAAAATTTTACATAATATTTGACCTATTTTTTTAAGTTGGTGTGCAGACTATATTTTTAAGGAAAATATCACTCAGAGTTACCTCCCTTAGTTTGGCAACCACTAGCGGGCAAACGACTACACTCTTTTTCTTTATATTATAATCATGTATTGCTTATACATATGTGTATCCATTAATACCAAAATCATTTGTTTTCCATTACTTTGATTTCACACTCGTACTACCTTAACAGTGATAAATACTACGTTTGCTACTTAAACTGATCAGTTTTGATTTTTTCAGAAATTCTCAGGGCCAAATATGGCCGAAAGTGGCTCTACCTCTTTCTTTAATGAATTTCATCATGATAATAATGAAAATCAATTTATTATCACTGTACATAATTAAATATATCGTGAAGAATTTTCAACTGAATCGATGTTATTTTAACAAAATTAAAAAAAGTAAATTAAAATTGAAATTTGTGTTTCTATCTCTTTTTTTCAAAACGCCAAGGAGATCAGTGAACCCAAAGACGAAGCAATGACCACCCTCAGAACTGTTGAATTGGCAGCTTTTACCGTCAGTAAGTTTTGAATTAAATAATAAATTTGAATAAAAAGTATAAAGGATTATTTAAATAACTATTACATAGAAGTTGTTTCTAAAGCCACCCTTTGTTTATTTAGACACACCTTGGATATGTGTTATCCTTGGAGGGACAGGTGTAGTGATACTTATATTCATGGGGATGATTGTTTGTATGGTTAAAAGAAGGTGCCAGAGAAGACGGGTGGACCTCGAATCCCAGTCCCTGACAGAATTCGATGCAGTTGTCATGCGGGATTTCAAGTGTGATTCACTTTTTTTAGTGATCACTCTAACGGTTTGTGTAAAGAGAAGAAGCCGTGAAGTACTCGTGCGAGCCCCCACACCTCCCCCAGTCATGCCAGCGCCTCAACCAGCGCCACTCAGACGCTCAACCAGACAGAGGCGCCCACCCATCAGACTGTCATATTGATTTGTATTTGTAAAGATATTTTTTCATAAACTTGTTGATTTTTTCTGAAATTATGTATTGAATAAACGAAATATAAATATTTGAATTATTTGTAATTTTTGTATTATTGTGTCAGTGGTTCTTTAGTAAATTTTGAGTACAATTGCTACAGTCTGTTTAAACCGTTTACAGAATTGAAAGAAGACAGGTTGAAACTTAAAACATTTTAATTTTCACAAAAATGACAAACATTTAACTTCCGGAGGATTCTCCTCCCTGCCACCCCCTTTATCAGCGCCTCCAGTCTCTCTTCGAGTCTCTGCAGGCGTTGGCGAAAAGCCTCCTCCTGGATGGTCTGGAAAAGATAAATGATATTGTAATGAAAAAAGACTAGAAAACTTAAGGATGTTTAAAACAAAGGAAAAAAACTGAGGGCTGTATTTTCTAAAGAAGAAATTTATGTCTACGAGCACAAAAAAAGAGAAGTTATTAGCAGAATTAAATTTGGTCGTAGTCGTAAGTTCTTTTTTTTTTTTTATATAAAACAGGTACTCTAGAAGTTCATGGTTAGATCATCCTTAAAATAATGTTTACTTGTGCTATCCCTACTCATTTTTTTTTTTAAATATTTGTTGACAAGATAAAAGGAATAAAGAGAAAAATCATATATTTTTCGTTTTTCTTGAACGTAGGGAAATTGAGTTGGTCGGGAAAGCACAGCCAAAACAATTTTAAAGATGACCTTACATGAAAAAAATTAACCAGTGGCGGATCCAGGAATTTCGCAACAAGAGGGTACAGGGCCGGGGGGGGGGGGCTGTAATAAAGCCCCCCTCCTCGCAGTAGGTCTATTAAGGCCACGGTCCTGATGGGGGTTCGGGGTGAATCCCTCGGAAGCTGACACATTATTTTTACAAATAAGAAATGTTATTCCGGTGCGCCGTCCCTAGATCCGTCACTTTTTACTTTCGGGTAACACATGACGAATTCAGTCATACATGTAACCCGGAAAAAAGATTATCCACGTAAAATTATGTAATACATGTGCATGACTAATGATGTACTATATAAGACTGAGGAAAATGTACTCATTGTTTAATTAGGTGTTCAATGTCATTTGAATGAACGACTGTGAATTATGCAGACATTTTTTGCTATATGTAACAAGTCCTTTAGTACTGTTTCTAATTACGATCGACATTGTAAAAATGAACACGAAAAAACAAATAGTTTTCGTTGCGATATTTGTGAAAAGGTACTAAATCGTAAAGACAATTACATGTTAGAGTGTGCAAAGCAGAATTTAAATGCTTTTACTGTGACTATACTTTCAAGTTTTCATCGCATCGCACATTACATGTTCGCAAGGAGCAAATGGATAAATTATTTAAGTGTTATAACTGCTGCACTGAATACTTGGACGAGAGAAAGACACCAGCAGACATGCAAGGTAGAGTACCACATTTTGAAAATTGTTGTTAATGAAAATTTAAGATATCTGTACCGTATCTGCAGGAATTTGGGGGGACGGTGCAGGTGTTTGGAGGTTCACGCATGCGCCGTCTTTAGCCTCCGAGGAAAAGTCAATTCGTCTCCTCACCTACAAAAAAGCATATTTACATTTTTTTATTAACATAATTTTCATGAATGCGTTTGTCGTTCATTAACATTTGTTGTTAATCGATAGTTTATATATTGCATTTCTTGATTGATCATAGAATATTGACAATTTGAAAAATAGAGATAGGAAAAAAATTCAAATAGATAAAAACACACCTGGCGAAATCTAGCCCCTCTAGGGGTTGAATCTATCACAATGACTCTGGAATTGAGCCACACATCATTGGTCTGAAATTGAAATGAATAAATAATGAAAGGTGTTTCCTTAAATAAAGTTTGCTGATGAAGCATTACATTTACATGTACCAGTCATTCGCGCAACATTGAATTTGACAGTAAATATTAGTGTAACAAACTTAGCATTTGATTGTGATGCTTTTTACTTGTTGGAATGTTTTCATCTTTAAAATAGTTCAAAGTAGAAAATCCTTATTTTCAATAAATATAGTTAAAATATAACTAATAATAGGTTATTATATTTTTATAATATGTTATAGGTATCATTAAAAGTATGTCGGTATTTAAAAACATTCATTTGAGTGAACACTCTTTTTTTTCTTTTTTTTTTTTTTTAAAATGTGTAAAAATTAGTTCAAATACATTATTTTTATGTGGAAGGTATGAAATTAATGTTTACTTTACAAACATGGTTGAATTGTGAATATCCCTGACACCATTTACATCAAATATACAACAAAGGAAATGTATGAATGAGGATACATGTACATGAGAGTTATTGTCCCTAAGCGTCCGTTTTTTAGCTTACATAACTTAAAAAAACATTCTTATTCTTTCACTTAACATTTTTTGGCTTTACATATGTTGTAAAGAATTCTCCTAATAGATAGTTTTTCGCTTCATATATTACACTGTGTAGAAACGGACTAAGGTAAAGTGCGTTACCCTAGTCCAAGATGGCAAGCTCCTACGCTTCGATCATTTTGCACTTAGTTTCAGCGTTATACAGACTTGTATTATAAATTTTGTTGTTAAAATTGAATTATGTCGTACAGAAGAACACAACAATCGCAAAAAGGCGGCATGACATGCGCTTATTAAAGCCAGATTGCGAATACAAAATTTGAGCATGATTAGGGTAAAGTAAATTTTTGATTAGGGTAAAGATATTCTGATCTTTTTGGTGACTAGGGTAAAGTACGTGTAAAATATCATTTTCCTTGTTTCAGGACCTAAAACATCCTATTTCGAGTGATGTTTACTCCTTCTAGGTAACTGATCCTACTTCTGTATTTGCCAGAGGTCCGTGTTTTATACCCTGACCACATATTTTTATTAGGGCCCCCGCAAGGATTTGCGGGTGCCCTATAGTAATCACTCTGTCTGTCCGTCTGTCTGTCTGTCCGTCTGTCACTCTTCCGTCCACAATTTTTCTGTTTTTTT